GGCAATTTTTAATGTTACTGTTGCAATTGAAATGGGTTCTACGTATACGCCTGGGAAGTAAAACAAGGAAATTGAAAAAGCACCAAGAGTTCTAATTCTATATTTTAATCCAAAATACAAAATAAAAATGTTTGGGAAGACTGACCATGTGGTTAAAACACAGGAGTAGTAGTTACTAGCACCCAGTACTGCCACAGACTTTTTGGGTAATTCACATCCTTTCTTGGTTCTCTGGTTCTCCTCATCTAGAACCTGAAAGCTATAAAGCTCATCTATCAACAGAGGCAAGACGAGCTTTCCTTTGCTCACGTAAAAGTAAGTCAGGAAATATTAAACCATTTTTGTGAAAGAAAAGAATGGGAATATTTTCAGGACAGTTTTTTCAGAATGTAAAACTTTTTTCTATGACTACTGTTGAGCATCTCAACTCTTGACACTTTAGGGCCTTATTTTCCTCTTCCTAGCAGCATGTTTTTGCTCTGCCGAAACCAATGGAATACACCAGCTGAAGCAGCAAAACTAAGTCCTTATGTTTGGTCTGCCATTACTCAGGAAACTGGTGAAATTTAGCTTTTTAACTCTGAAGAGAAGGGGAAGAATTCCTCTTGTGTTTCCAGATTTGATACACTCTGAAAACAAATTCTTCTGAGCTTTGGAAACACAGTTCCAAAAAGATGAAAGCCCCAAAAATCAAAGTTTGCAAATCATTCTAAAAGCAAGCTCATGCCACATGCAGATGTTTCACCCGAGGGCTCTGGAAATAGTCATTCCCTGACATGCTGATAACAGAATTAATAAATCAGCTCTGCATTCATTCATTCAAGACTCTTGATATTAATTCTCACAATGTACTGGCAGCAAGAAATACTCGATCCTGAGACAACACCACAACTGTCTTACAATAATGCCAGGGGAAGCACACAGACAAAACTACACTGATGGCAGCCTAACACTGTTACCGAGGGCAGACGGAGCTACGTTTTAAAGCATGAACTACACTTCTCTGTTAAAACCAATCACAAATGCATTTTTTACTGTGTCTAATCTGTTTAATTAAGCAAAGCTGGATTTCTCAGTTTATGAATCAGTGTCATACACATGTAGTACCATCAGAAAGGAGAACTAAACCCCTAGGTTTACCATCAAAGCATCAGACAGTCACCACTCTTGCCAAAAGAGAAAGAACACAAACGGGCACACGCACTGGAGACAGCCATTAGCAGAGTCACAGCTGCACAGACTAAGTCAGCGTGTTCCAAATGTTATGAATGGAACAAAAAAATAATCCAGGTCAAGTCAAGAATGCTGGGCTTCACTTTGGCTATTGCAACTTCTAGTGCCATTGAAGTGTGAGCAAGACAGTTGCTTCCAATTTTTCCAAATATTCTCCCAGTAAATTCTTCCACTGTAATCACATGGACCAGACACACATCAGAGTGAAGAATCCCTGCCTTCTCCCTGAGGGATTTTATGCCCTATTGCAGAAGAGAGTTGGGAACAGATTGCCACCTCTCTATGGGCACATTTGAGTTCTCTCTTCCCACCCCTAGCTAATCAAGATTAAAAAAATTTCATCTTAAAACCATTACAACAAACATCTCCTGTCTGTAACGTAATGGCAATGCAAACAAACCCAGGCTTAAGTGGATCCTTCCTCACAAACCATTGTAGAGAATAGTTTCTCCCCAGGGATTACTGTGCATCTCAGGCATTAGGGGGACATACCTCCCTAAATCTTGGCCACAGGCCATGCAGCAGCATGACTACCACCAGGAATGGGAGACAAGCTACCCCAGAGCTCTGTGTCTGCACAACAAAGTTCAGTACTTGTATTATTTTGCACATGAGGACACAGCCCTGGAGACACTGGTACACTATTGGGAACTCTTCCTTATCACATTTTGAACCCCAGATCTACAAAGGTCTCCCTCCACCCCATATCTTACATTCCTCCTTTCCCAATCCAGCCCTCCTCTCCACAGTCCCAGTATTTCATGCCCTCTGCCTCCTCCCAACACACCTCTCACCACTCTGGCTTCCTGCTATATATTCCCATGGTCTCACCTCTGCTTAGCCTTCTCTCCAGAAATGCCCCCCCCTCAAAACCTTCCCTCTTTTCCAACATGCCAAACACACTACCCTCACCCTTTTTTCTCCCCTGGAAGTGCAGATTCCAGCACTGTCTCCATCACAGCTCAGGCTGCTGCCGAGTCCACGGTTCAAGTGCAGAAGCTGCTCTAACACTGGATGAAATGCAATTTGTCAACCAGAGACTAGATGTATTCCTTTACAATTACCCCAAGGTGACACCTCACTCTCTCCTTCATGAAACGGTGTATTATCTTGCATAACATTTACTGTAGGACAAAGCCATTGCGCAAAACCTTGTTATTACACTACAACTCATCAATGTGTCCACACCCAAACTGCTCCTCACAGCACATGGTTCAAAGGCCTCTTGTGCAGGCCTGTTTCTTATCATTATTCTAGGCTGGATAAAACTTCCTTTGCCAGTCTTTTGGATTAAGATTTCGCCTCACAGTCAGTACCAAAAATAAAAAAATCTGGTTCTCATGAAGCACGGCCTTGCTGTCTAGAAGTGACTTTTCTGTTGTTATTCCTTACATTACTACTGTCCAAGTTAAACTAACTAGGATTTGTAACTTTGGCATTTTGAATACAATCAGCACATAGCCTTACAGACCTAAGCAGAGCAATTGTGAGAAGACAGATAAAAGAGGTACATGTTTACCTCAGCTGCAGGCCACGTGAAATGAGAGCAAGCATCTTTTTGGTAACTCTATCGTGAAGTGACATTATGATCAGAAGCTTGACTATATGTGAATCACCTTCTTACTAGTAGATGAGGCCTCCATGCACATCCATGGCCAGGTGTCCTAATTAAAAAAATACAGGTTTACTCACTTTCAGACCTACTGTCTCTCTGAAGCAGTGCAGCTAGAAACAAAGGGTTCTAGATAAAATTCTAGATCATGTAACAACAATATTAACCAAGCTCCAATTGCAAAATCTTGGGTAATTTCCATTATGAATGGAAAGAGAAGACCAAGTCGGCCAGTAGAAAATCTGTTTCTGTATACTATCAACTACAAACTGACCTAGGCACTACCCAGGTAGAAATTTCAAAACATACAGTCTGCTTAAGCTCTGCTGGAAAACCTGAGTACACCGGTTAGATTCCCTCTGCAAAAAGGATCATGATATAAGGTAAATCTGTGCTGATATGGAGACACAGCTATAAAAACAACATCGAAGCATCAGGTCATTCTCTAAGCTAACAGGCAAATCAGATACTCTGCTCTGAAAGAGTAATAAACAAAAAAATAGAGGTTCCATAAATGGGTAGTCTCTTCAGTCTGTTTCAGCTTACAAATGAGGGCAGGACCAACCAGGCCAGAACCAACACACAGAGACAAACTGAGGTTAACTGGGTAAGCAGGTGCAATGCCACTGACTTCTTTCACCTGTTTCTAGGGGAGGAAGAGAGTCATAATCACACTTTCAATACTTTCACAAGTGTAAAAAATTGAATGTATTTCTAGCTATCACGAGACATTTTGAGTTCAACACTGGTTCTGTCCTGAATTCACCAGACAGAGCTGACACTAAGCTACTTAATCTCACAGTGCTTCATCTGCTCTATTTATAAAGCGAGCAGGCTGGCTGTAACTTGTTTCAGGATAAATTAAGAAGAGGTTTATGACTTCTAATGCTCTGAGGTGAAGGTAAGGTAGTAAAAATCTTGAAATTTGCCCTATATAGTATAACATTTGGCAACTAGTGTTTTATAGTCACTGGATTAATTTCTTTTAAAATTAGTATTTTCAACAACAGAAATAACGTCACCAATTCCATTCACTTTACCCTACACGTGCACAACCCAAAGCTAAACGGATCAGTCACGCCTTTCATTTTCCATCCTAAGTCTCACACTGAGATTTCATATACTTGCAATATTCCTTTCCTTGCTTAAAAAGTCTATTCATACATTTGATTTATAAATAATGTATTTGACATATAAATAACAGTGAATGCCAAGAAGCTGAAAATATCGTTGGTCTCAACCCAATTCCTTCTGTCGAGTTAGCTCTCAAAAATAAATGTGATCCAAAGTTTCTGAATGCAACTGCTAGTAAAGATTTCACAATAATTTACCAAATTCTTAAGGCAGGAATTTCTGTTTCAGGCTTATTCAAGGCAAAATAAAACATCAGCTTTATTGTTTTTAGACAAGGAAAGTAAGATGAGTCTACAAAGTTCAAACAAATCACATTACATAATATATTTTGGTTTAGTACTATTTAAAAACTCCAAAATGTTTTTGGTTTATCTCCAGAAAACTTGGAAAAGCAGAGGCAAACTTGCAAACGTTTTAAGGCATTATCAAGCATTTTGATGAATAAAACCTCATTTTACTTTAACATGTTTTTCACGTTCATAATCACTCTGATGTAATGCATCCTGAAGGTGCAGACATGGCACTGAAAATAAACTAGATTTTTTTTGTTTTAACTCAACTATTGAGTAATTCAAGTTTAAGGCACTAGCAAATTACGTGTCATGTTTCAAACGTCTGGAAATTAACATAATTGTATGATTTCCACCGAACCAGGCAATTCACAGACTAATTCCTCACCCTGGCATTCAGAGTTAACGTTACACTTCTGGTTTACTTAGGTGAGGTGGCAGATGAACTCTGTTGCTAGGGCTGTCCTAGTGGTAACAGTACTAGTTAGTCATCTCATACAGACCACTCCATCCAGACCTAGGTGGGAAAGCTCATGCATCTGCTTAGAAGTAGCTGCAAAAAGCAAAAAAGAAAAGTGAAAAAACATACGTGAGAGTTTGTACATTCAGGTACGTGTATTGGTTGCTCACGCATGCACACAACTATAGGCAATATCTGTTCAAAGATTTATTTTTCTCCAAATAGAGTTGTTTCCACACCCTGCCCTTGTCCCTTCCCCAGGGCAACCAAGTCAGTGGTTCACAAGAGTTGAGGCGGTCGGATCTAAATTTGGAGCTGCTCTGTAGTGCCCAGGTTTGGTTTGCTCCCTCTGCTGAGAAGCACTGCTAAATCTGAAGTGTGCCAAGTGCGTCAGGTTCAGAAGCTGGTCAGTTCTGGTTCCTCCGGACACTCTGGACACCAAGTTCTGGAATCCGAACAAAGAGGATATTAATCAAATGCCAAAGTGACGTTTTCCATTTTGATGAAGACTGGTGACTGAACAGGCTTCTGCCTGTTATCCAGGTCCATTTGTTTCTTCATGTCTGTTTACACAGCAGTAGAAGAAAAATGTTTCCCTGTGGAGATAAGGAGATAATCTTCCAGGCATTTTCGTTTGCTCAGCCATCGATGATTATCATAACCTTTAGACAGATGCAATTCCCGTTTGTGCAATTCACAGCATCTCCAGGGTCTCTTAATAGGCTATTCTTACCAGGCGAGGATGGTGAGAAGGCTTCTGTTCCAGTGAAGCTCGCAGATCCAAACTGCTGAGTGTGGGATTGCTGGAAGAGATGATATTTTCCCAGCCAGCCAGGCAATGCTGTAAAAAGAGACAGAAATGCTGCACTGGAGTGCTTTACATTTCTTAATCTATTGTGGCCTGTTACTTCTGAATAACTTCTGCACAGGGAGGTTTTAGCAGGTAATGAATTAATTTTTGAGGAGTTTTATATGACTAACAGGACAGAGAAGAAACGTCTAATGAAGAAAAACTGCATAGTTCTCCCCTCCTTCCACCTCTCACAGGCTAATCATTTCCAAACCGATCTCCTGTTTTGTGAACTCAAGCACCTGACCTCTCTGAACCAACTCATCCAGCTCCCTAAACCTCAAAACCGAGCTTCCTCCTACCTCTTCCCTGGAAACCTCTAGACCAGGGCTAGGTCTGATTAGTAACACTGCCTGCAGCACTGCCTAGTGGCTGGAATCCAGGACCAACTCTATAAAAACAAGTTCTAAATGCAGCCTTACCACTATTGATTTTGCCTGGCCTCTATACACCATGAATACTTCACAGAAGCTTGTCTTTGAACTCTCTAACATCTGTAGAAAGAAACACAGGCACTCCTAGGCATGGCTTATCGTGTTGAAAGGTCAATGCCTGAAATAAGTCAGCTGAATCATGCCCCAGAAGTATAGAGCTCTATATGGCACTTTCTTTTTCTCAGTGTAAAGTATTTGGAGATATGTCATACACTTTATGCCATACACAAAGGTATGAACTCAGAAGCACACACCAATGGCTTTTCTTACTATCTCAGTGATGTGGATAAGAAATTTTAGTGAAAATCCTGCCAAGGGGATGAGTCACAGATTCTCTTTCCTTCTTGTGCTGTAACAATGCCCAGCCTGGGCTGTGCTATCAGTATCAGCAAGAAGACAGCAACTTACCGAAGGTAATGCCAAATTGTCGGCCGGTTCAAAGCTCTTCCTGCGATGGGCTTTGTATTTGTAGGCAGGCTTAAGGGTAGACCTGGGAATGCTGACCCTGCAACCACAAGGAGGTAATTGCCTACACCTTCCACAAGGCAGAGGAAACCTGCATGCCTTCCTCACTCAGAATCCAAGGGTCTAATCCCAAACAAAACAGTTTTGGATTAGGGTGTTAGACACGTAACATGTACATTCAGATTCTGGACCAAATTCAGATAAAACATGCACTTCTCATTGACTTCAAAACTGTTTCTGCTTATGGAAAAGATCAGCAGTGAGTTTTAAGCAAGAGATATCTCTGCCTTGACAACAGCAAACTTCTACAGAGCTATTTTGATGCTGCTTTCTCCCTCACATGATCAGCTTTTTCTTCCCCACCGTTTCCTTGATTTCTGTGTATTTCAAAGCAATAATTCTTATCTACCTGACATAGGCTGGCTTTTCCAGGATCTCTGGGGGCTGGTGAGTATGTGGGATCTTACACACAGAGCAGGCAGATTCTGAATTCACAGGAACAGGAAAGAGGCGCTGGTTTAGTCGGTAACAGTAAACACCTGCCACACAGTAATGAAACATCACAGTTATTTCTAGTTTGTCAGAAGGTTCCTCAACACAGTCAACAAAGCTAATGTTCTACCACAGTGCCAAACGTGCATTTTATAGAAAGAGATGCTTTTCCTGAATTATCTTTTACATTTCCTGTCCCCAAATAAGCTCCTAAAAAGCAAACCCAAAACTTCAACCTCCTCAACTTAAAGAGAACATCAGCCAATTACAAGAAACCCTGACAGAATAAGATGACACTGATTGAGAGAGGATCCCTAGAAGACTCAAGTATCTTCGGAGGAGGAAGTTGAATCTGGTTTAGAAACTGCAGCTAAAAAGAACACATTCTTCCTTGTCTTGCATGATGCAGGGCTCTCATAACGACAGGCAAAGACCACTCAGTTGTTTGTTCACAGAAATTGGATTAGGAAATCTGATCTTACACTTGTGGGAACTGGTTATCAAATCTGGTTCTTGTTCAGGAACTATGTAATCCAGAGCCTCGGGCCTAAAGAAATAAATGAACAAATCAGTTAGTGGCCTCTGAATAGCCCCACCTTTTCCAAGCACACATTCCTGACTGGGAGGCAAAGGCCTACAAAGCCACCCTTACAATTTCCCACTCCAATCCTATACTCCTCACTACTCTGAAGGGATACATTGCTGCTCCAGCCCGTCCCCATGCCCACTTACTCCAGGTGCTGCTCATGAATACACGCTGCTCTGTTGGCCTGTCGGAACTCGTGCAGCTCAGCAAAGTATTGATCAGATTTTTCTGCTGTTGAAGAGTTTGTATCTAGGAGTCCTGAGAACACCAAGGAAAGAGAACAGTTCAAGGATTGACTGAACGTGGGAAAGCACCAAAGCAAGCCTCACACAAAGCACCATGCAAAATGGTCAAAACCACCAAAGGTCTGAAGTACCAAAATGAGAAGAGCACACCACCACATCGAGCCAGAGATTTACTGAGTGGTTTAAGTCTCTCATGGCATTCATTCATTCTGGTTACTTGGTGTCCTCTCTGACCTCACTCAGCTTTGCCGTTTGCTGCCTGGATTCCCACATCACTGCCACTTCACCGTTCCAGGGAAGCACAGGTCACCTCTGGCCTGGATGGGGAATGGCTTCTGACAAAACTGCAGCTCCTCTGCTGAGACCTGCTACATGGTCTGGTTTTCCATCACACCCCAACTTAAAGGGGACATAAACTGTGTTTTAACTCTTTATATTACTACATCATGCTGAGAGCTTTGTTTCAGGTTCACCTGCAATCCAGTCATAGCCCAGGAAAGGACGCACAGACCAGCTGCTCACAGGTATGGTATACTCTTCAGGGTCAGTCTGAAAAGCCACATGACCAGCTTCCTTCTGGGAAGAAAACAACTCATAAACACTTCTGATATATCTAGCAGGACATTCAAAGGTACAGCTTAGGAGATAACTGGCAGCTGCTCAAATGGGACAGCTGTGGCTTAGTTTGAGGCTGGATTCTACCTCTGTCTCTACCAGTAATTTGCTCACCAGCCCTCTATCTTCTCAATTCATAAAACAGAGGAGGCAGGTGACTTGCCCAGGCTAATGCAGTATGTTTTTTCAGGGCTTTAAACAAAATGCTGACTTCCCTGCATCACACATCCCCAAACATCAGGCCATCTCACTGCCTGGGATGATGATCACAGCAATAGCCTGCCCTTCAAGCCGAAGGGAACAAGCCATGCAGCCGCAGCGCTGCACCAGGTTGTTCTCCATTGAGCACATGAATCACATTTACAAACGACAAGGGGTCTGACAGTGAAGTGCTACAGTTTTCTGGTCTTTGGTTCACAGGCCAAGGAAAGCAAGGCCTGAACAAAGTGCCAACAGCCCCTGCCTGCTCAGGCTGGGAACAGTACTGACCTCAACTTCCAAGTTACACAGTGGGAACAGGGCAAGGAATATTCTCCTGACCCTTTCTCCCCATCCTTCTCTTGACTTACAAAAATGAGCAAAGCATTGGTTTCACCATTTACCTTCAACTCTTTGGACTGAGATGTCAGCAAGATTGATTTACAAATTACGGGCCCTCTAATGACTACATGCTGCTTGCTGGTCTCTTCACTTCGTATTCTGCTCAGTGATGGGTCCAGGTGGTCCTTAAGCTGTTTTTTCTCACGGAAATCATGTAGCAGAGCGGACTGTTTTCTGTTGTCTCCATGTTCCAGAAGAAAGGATTCTTTCTCTGGACTTCCTTGAGCATAGCCATCCTTGTCCACTATAGAGGCTTCTCTGCCACACGTAATGATTGCAGACACTGGCGTAACATTCTTCTCTTTCCCAGGAAAGCTGGAATCCAAACCTACAGCTTCCTGCCTCTTCGCTTGTTGTTGCTCTACCCCTCTGTCATTGCTGCTGTGTTTAAGAGATGAACAGAGGGCTGCTCTGGCTGCGTAAGCTCCTGGTTCCACAGACACCAGCATTGCAGGGTCAGCTGCAGACTTCGCAGCATCGACCTGATTTTCCTTCTGTAAGGACAGAGACTCTCACACCACATGGCATTGTACAGATTACAAATACCTTTCATTCGGCCATTTCACTCAGTAAGAGAAAATCAACCTCTCATTCTAGTCTGCTCATCCCTTTAAATCCCTATGGGGAAAAAAAGCAAAATCCTTCTATTATTCACAAGACATTATTAAGTGTTTAGAGAAGGTAAGAAAGGGGCCTACCTCCAGCTAAATCAAGCTTTTCCCGATTTGAGGAACCGTTAAACTTTCAGCCTTTGTGCTTAGAAGAAATAAAAGGATTACATTCCACAGTGTTCATTCCTATCTTAGATTAAGAAACCTACATTTCTCAGGCAGGAACTGATCTCTGAATCCTTTGCAAGGAGAACATATTTGAGACCACAGGATAAACAATAAACGAAACTCTAGCTACTTTTCTAACAGACTCCATATTCCACCTTCTACCAGCTGTTTCATGTCCATACATCTCCTTTACCACAGCACTCTATAGACAGAGCTGCTGCCTACCACACAAGGCCCATTTGCTTCCCAGCACTTCTAGCACAGACACAACACATACCCCTCTCTTGGCCAAGGGGACAGGTCTTTCAGTAGCTGTTCTATTATGAAGAGATGCCGGAAAGACTGGCTTGCTGGGAAGTCTTTTTCTGATCTCTTCCTGCTTCATTCTGAGCCTTTGTAGAAGGTCCTGGTTGGCCTGACGCAGCCTCTTCAGGTTCTCTAACTCCATCCTATGAAAACATTTTCCTGTAAAGGCAGAGGAAGGCTGGACTACATAAATGGAAGCATCGAGTGAAGAAGCAGACTCAGGAGAAACCACTTGCAGAGGATTTTTCATAAAAACCACTTACAGCTGTTAGTACATTGGGAGTGTTGATCATTGCTCCCAAGAAATCAGCCTGTCTCTTTAAGCTAAGAACTAGCACCACTGCACACTTCTCTCTCCTCAGATGCACTGTCAAGTATTTTGCACCCAGAAACTGGTAGCTGACTGAACAGGGAGAAGACATTCTTACAGAGGAAACAGTAAACATGAAAAGTCACATCAAAAAGCTAAATAAGAGACATTCGATTCAGAGGCTGGTATTTAGGGCAACCTTATGTAATTCTGCTTTAATGTTCTTTTTAAACATCAAAATTTATATTGTGATAATACCAGGATGCTCGTAACTTCAAAATATGAATGAGTATGAATGTATTTACTACAAAAGAAATATTGAGTCAAAACTGTCCTCCGTGTTCCCCAGAAAGGAAGACTCCAAAAGGCTCAATTATCACTCAGGATTAGGGCTCAGACAATTCCAATCCCACACATTAATCACTAAGGGTTACTTAGAAGAGGGAGAAAAGAGGAGTTAATAAATAAATAGATAAAGAAATAAAACCTTGTTTGACTAGAAGGCTATCATGCTGTTCAACATGTTTACAACATCACAAGCTCCTCTAAATTTGCAGAAAGTGTTTTTTCAAATAAAACAAAATGAAACCCTAAACCCAAACTCTCACACTGCTGCTGGCTAGAGTGATTTATGTTCTCGAGAAAACTACGAGCTTCTGCAGGACCTATGAACCTGCAGGATCCCTAAACCCTTTTCCAAAGCTCATCTGATTTGTTTTTGGGTCTGCTACCTTGGCAACTGAACATGAGGAATCAAATCCACACGTATACAACAGCACTGGGAGCAACAAAGAGCAGTGCTAATGATGAAAAAGCTACAACATATCTTTTTGTTACAAGAAGTAAGTGAGAGGTGCACTACTGGACATAAAATAGAAATACCAGTCTTAAAGCACTAAATTTGAGATCATTTTAACAAAGCATAAGTTCTCACAGTGTTCACAGGACAAAATTAACTGCGTCCTCTCATCGTTGCTCATCGGAAAGCAAATACTCTGAAAATAACATTAGTCAAGGGACTTTCTGGAAGGGTTTTACCAGATGAGATCCACTCTTCGCTGTTAGTCCCCTTCCTGCTCAGCCCCAGGGGCTCAAGCTTATGAAACTGCTTTAGTCTGAATCCTCTGCGAAAAGGAGCTTAGCTTCTCGCAGTTAAAAACAAACAACGGTTGTCTCGGGAGCTGCGAACTCTCGTCTCTGAAGGAAAGTTGTCTTAACACCTGAACGGGGCTTCCCAGAGCCGTTTTGGCACAGACGCGCCGTTCCGACTCTCCTGTGCCCACGAGGAAGGGGAGGCGGCCCTGGGCACTGCCAAACTCCCCCTCGCTCTCCAAGAGGCCGGCCCGGCAGCCGGCAGCCCGCTGGTTAACGCTCCCTGCGGAGCGCGGCGTGGGA